CTCTCCACGTTCCTTGATCCAAACGCAGAAGAAATAATAATGATAATAATGGTAATAAGAGAGGCTATCATTTAATGAATGCCTGCCATCTGCCACGCTCTGTGCCACTTTTAAACAGTGTTTCCAATCCTTCTGCTCCATATGAACTGGCTGTGAGTCTTTTTGCCAACGGGGACAACTGGGGCTCAGAGGAAGAAAGGATTTTGTCCAAGGTCAAGCCAGATCTTAAGTGGCGAAACAAGGTTTGAATCTGGGAATGTCATGCCAAAGTTCATATCCCTTACATCACTAATTAATGAGCGGGAATCATTCTAGGGACCCTCCAACCCAGGTGTCAGGGGAAGTAGGTCCCCCCCAGGCCTCCTAGGGGACTCTACCTGCAAGAGAGACTTGCTTTGCTGTGATCCTTGCAAGTGTCCGAGCTCCAAAGGGCACAGAGGTTGCGGGGAGGAGGCTGAGGCTGTCACCGTGTGTGCGGCGGTGCTAGTTCCTCCTGTTTGTGTGGTAGAGGGACACGCAGAGACTAATGCTAATAATCCCATTAATATCGATAATGGCAACAATGGCAGTAGCGATAAAGGTAGCTACCATTTCCTGGCACCGCACTGTGTTAAGCGCTTTATCTGGACTCTCCCGTTCAGGTAGAGCAGGCTAGAGCCAGGCCTCAGTGTCAGGGGGATTGGGCTGGAGTCCCAGCTCTGCCATACTTTGACTTCAGGAAAGTCAGGTGACCAGTCTGAGCTTCTGGAGTCCTGACCCCGTGGCGCTGCTGTGAGGATGAAATGGGACCCTGGATGTGAAGCACTGAGCCTGACCCAAAGGGAGCCTTCAATACCCCATAGAGAGGGTACAGACACGGCCCCCGTAGGTGGGGGGGTATGTGTTCGTGTTGGGGGCCTGATGGGCCAGCATGAAGGCTGTGTGTCTGGTGGGGAGAGGGTGTGAGTGTTGGTTGTCTTGTATTTTTGTTGAGTGAGGGCTCACTAGTCGGGGGCCCATCTTGGAGTGGAGCTCCTGGGCTGGTTCAGGTATGCCCAGCTCTCAGCCTCAGGTAGCTCAACTGGGGACATTCCAGGAACCATCCCTCTTCAGCTCTGGGGCCCCGGTCAAGCTGTGTGTTTCCTCCTTTCCCCACCAGGAGACCCCCTCTGACTGGTGCCAGCACACTCAGTGGGCTGACGGGCTAAAAAAAGGAGAAGACAAGGGAGAAAGGCCCTGGGGCTCCCGCTGCTGCCGCCACCGCCGCCTCCGGACCAGGACTTTGAATTCGTCTGAGCGCTAGGGGGCAATGTGTCTGTTCCAAAGAAACGGTGGGCCCTCGCAGGCGGAGTGCACACACAGGCTCGCGCTGGGGTGCCCACACCACGGAGGCGCACACACGGCATGTCCATGGGCACAGATGGGCAGGGCACCGGCAGTGGCACTGGCTCTCACACACGCATCGAACACATACACGTGAGCAGAGATGCAGGCGTACAAAGTATGAAGAAGGTGCACACACAGGACAAAAGCAGAGGCACACATGCAGAGAAGCACGGGGTTGGGGGACAGACAGTGTTCCTCCCCTGGGGACACTCACAGAGACACAGAGACGCATGCACACACAGGCATGTACACAAACACTCGCAGATGGCCTGCTACTCCCACACAGAGGAAGACATAAATGCAGGCACATGCCACATACCCGCACAACATTTGTAATGTAAAGGGAAGGTGACCCAGACCCCCAGCCTGAACGGGAGCACGGCTGGGCCCAAACACACCCTCCTTTCAGACACTCACACACCTTGTAGACTGAACTCTTGGAAATAGCCCCAGAAATAAACTCCCACACACCCCTCCCTGGAGTGCACAGAATTATTCCACAGGAAACCTGCCCAGGTGTTCAGGGGGCCTCCGCCCAGCCCTGTGTGAAGTCAGGCCTCAGCCTAGAGCACATCCCAACCGGGGGCTCCCCAGGCTGCCCGTCTGTGGGCCATTCTTCCCGCCGCCCTGGCCCACCCAGGGCTCCAGACAGGTCCCCTTTCCATATTCCCCCTAAACACACACGGGGATATAGACTCCTTACATAGGTGCCTCTTAAGATACTCATAACCAGAGCCAACTGCTCTGGACCAGGTATGTGATCTGGTGTCATGGGCCTTGCAAAGGCCTTGGCCCACACCGGAGTCCTCCTCCTGGCAACCAGGCCCCCTGCTGGTCCCCTTCCAGACCAAGAGGCTTACTGTCTCCCAAGTTCTGGCCTGGGGCCCTGTGGGCGGGGAGGTGTCACTGGAGCCCGACCCAGGCCCTTTATTTCTTTGTGCCTAAATCAGCCAAGCCTCACTCTTTTCTCAGTCTCTCACTTCTCTGTCACTTTGCTAAGTAATAATTTCCATGTCCAATTCCATTTCTTTTCTAGTTCTGAAACCTCTAAGCTATCAGCAAGAGGATAGTTCACATGAAAACTAATTACACAAAATCAATATTTAATCACAGACCAACAACCTGATCCTGCAGAAAAATCCTTTTAAAACTCCACCGCCCTGTACAAATACTTCTTCCTGATGCTTATTTATGGACCCCATTTTTGGTGGGAGTCATTTTCATTTTTAATTTCAAAAAGAAAAAATATCTGTCGACATCTGCAACAGGGAAGTCTGGTGAAGGGCCTTGGATCTGAGCTTGCTTCAGCTCTCTGAGTTTTAAAGTTGCAGGTTTTTAGTGTTTGTTTTTATTTTTAGTATCCTTTGGGGGGGGGGTCATTTTCCTCTCGAGTCCCTCAAAATTCCTTTTCCTGCATCTTCTCACCCTAAGTTGAGCCCTTTCCCCAGCATTTCTGAAAACCCGGCATCTGTCTTCCCAGCAGCAACTCCGGGGAGCAATGAATCGGCCTCCACAACGCGGTAACTTTTTAACTCCCTCCCGCGTTCGTGGAGTGCTTAATCTGAGGTTTTTAAATAAAAAGGGCTCAGGGGTTGGTTTTATTATAACGTTTATTTCATTTCAGATTTCATGCGTAATTTAGCAAACGCTAGACAGACTTGGGCGATAAACACTTTCTTTTGTGGGGGAGAAAAGGCATTTTTATACACCATGCTTAATTTTATTTAGATTTAATAGCGATATCAGGGGCACTTCAAAGAAAGTTCTTTTTCACTTCCCTTCTCCTAAGAATGCTAGTTGGCTCACAAAATTGCCTCGTGCTATTTTATGGCAAGGAAAATACACTCACGCAGGCGCACAGAATAAACACCTCCTCTACCCTCTATCACCTCTAACTTCCAACTTCTAATTGCAAGATAGATTTCAGCCTCAGTGGGGATCAGGAAGATCTAAACATTTTAACTAAGATTACTGGGATAAATATTTCATAAAGATCAGGGCAGATATTAAATTACTCGTATTGATTTTAGTATCACAACCCAATTCCGTTCCTTGGCCTCTTCGGCTTAATTGATCTCTTAAGGAGGCCAACCTTTCGCCCACCGAGGGTCTGGGCCTTGGCCCTGGTGCCAGGAGGAGGGTGCTCCAGCCTGCCGGTTCATCCTCCGCTCGGAGCTCTTCCCTGGGCTCCAAATGCTTCGCCGCTCTGCGCTGGACTTAGCCGATGTGTCCCCCATAAAGTGACCCAGTGGTCACGGCTCCTCGAGGAAGCCAGCAACTGAGAACTGGGAAGCCCAGGCTGAGGGATTAGGGAACAATCGTGCGCGCCCTAGCGAGGGAGGAGCGACCAAGAGCCCCGGTCTTTCCAGGAGAACCCTAACTTCGGGTTTCCCTGTCTGCTTTCACCTCCAGGAAAATCCGAGGGCCGGTTAGCAGGGACGCCTCTACAAAGCAGACAGTGGTGGGGGGCCAAGGGTTCGTCCCAGGCTGAAGCACAATCGATTCTTAGCGACTTTATGTGGTGAGTCCAGGAGATTTGCCTGGCGACCCCATTGTCTGAGCGCCCCGCACCGCTTACCGCCCACCTCCCCGCCCCCTGCCCACCCCGCAGATCTCTCTTCAGTTGGGGGTGGGGAGTTGGTAACTGTGTGAGTTGGAAGGGGGGTGAACAAAGCCAAGCTCCCACCATTCTAAGCCTGCGCCCTCCTCACCCGGATGCGCTGGGAGACTAGCGTTAGCCCCCAGCGCACTGGCGCCGGACCCCTAGGCGAGACCCGCGCGGTGAACCCCAGAGTTGGCGAAGTGCGGGATCGTACCCGGGCTTCAGCCGCCAGCGCCCAGGACCACCTTAAGAGCGAGCCCCGCCCCGGACTCGGAGCTCGGGCTGCGCTGATTGGTGCAAATGTAATGGCTGAAATTGATTGCTGAAATGCAAAACTTGTTGCTGCTTCTCCCGGTGCTGGGCGAGACGCAGACACAGAGAGGGGAGCTGAGACCCTCGGAACGCCCCACGCAGAGTCCCCCCCCCCGCTAGCCAGGAGAGGGGTGCGCGGACCCCCCAGAGCTGCCCTCAGCCCCCCCATTCCGGGCTCAGAGAGCTCAGCCGGAACGCCTTAGCCTGCTCGCCCAGCGTGGTCTCTCAACCCGCTTACGCCCCCCTCTCGGGGTCCGAGGGGGACTCGCGAAGCACCTCGGCGCGGAGGCAGGGAACGCGAGCCTCGGAGCAACCCAACCCCTCGTTTCTCTGCCTGTCTGCGCCTGGAACCGGGCGCGGAGATCTCAGCGAACTCAGAGACCGAACAGCAGAGGACCCAAGCGGCAGGAGGCGGACCTGGCCGGGAAGCGGCGCGCGGGGGTGCGGTGCTCCGGGGTGCAGCGCACCGGCCGCGGAGCAGGGGAACCGTGTCTTCCCCCAACCCTCGGCTCCAACCCCAGGTGCCGGCCACCTCCCCAGCCCCGCTGCGACCTCAGCTCGGGGGCCAGCACCGGTGATGCCGAGCGGAGCCTCCAGTCCTCCAACCCGCTGAAGAAACAGTAGCCGCTTGCTCGGGGGCCGACGGGGACTGTGCGAGTGGATCGTGCTTGGCGGAGGCTCGGGCTACCGAGCGCGGGGACTCCGGGGGGAGGGGGGGAGGGACCGCTCTGTCCCTGCCCGGGCGCCAGCCACGGCTTTAAAGGGTCTCTCTGCCCGGCCCCTTAGCAGCTCCGCTACGAACTCCGGGAGGCTTCGGGCCGCGTCCTGGGGCTCCCCACTCGACCTGATCGGACTTAAGAAGGTGATCGCTCTGCTTTCCCTGCCTCCTACCCGTCTCCTTCCCCCCACTTAACTTTTTGTCTCCACTCGCCTGCAGCGCTGTCCTCTCCCCACAAACCTACCCGCGGCTGTGCCAACCGCGCGGGGCATGGGCCCTCCAACACGGCTCCTGGAGGCCCCGCGGCGCCGCAAGATGTGAGAGGCCCGTGTGAGGCAGAGCCAAAGCTTCGGGAGAGGAGCTGATAGCCCCCAGCCTCTAAAGGCCAGAAGAGGTGGCTGTGCGCGCTGTGCCCCCGCGGTGCTGAGCGTCTCGGAGCGCCCAACCCAGGGCCGGAACGAGTAGCTGGCCGGAGGCGCGCCGCGGAGAGCAGGCTGTCATGCCCTATTGATTCCCCCACCCCCCGCCAAGTATGTTTGGGCTGGACCAATTCGAGCCCCAGATCAACAGCAGGAACGCTGGCCAGGGCGAGAGGAACTTTAACGAGGCCGGACTAAGCATGAACACCCACTTTAAGGCCCCGGCTTTCCATGCAGGGGGACCCCCTGGCCCCGTGGACCCTGCCATGAGCGCACTGGGCGAGCCCCCGATCTTGGGCATGAACATGGAGCCTTACGGCTTCCACGCGCGCGGCCACTCGGAGTTGCACGCGGGGGGGCTGCAGGCACAGCCGGTGCACGGATTCTTTGGAAGCCAGCAGCCGCACCACGGCCACCCGGGAGGCCACCACCCCCACCAACATCACCCTCACTTCGGGGGCAACTTTGGTGGCCCGGACCCAGGGGCCTCGTGCCTGCACGGGGGTCGCCTGCTCGGCTACGGCGGCGCCGGCGGCGGCCTGGGCAGCCAGCCGCCCTTCGCCGAGGGTTATGATCACATGGCGGAGAGCCAGGGGCCTGAGAGCTTCGGCCCGCAGCGACCCGGAAACCTCCCGGACTTTCACAGTTCGGGCGCCTCGGGCCATGCCGTGCCTGCTCCATGCTTGCCGCTGGACCAGAGCCCGAACCGAGCCGCCTCCTTCCACGGCCTGCCCGCCTCCAGCGGCTCTGATTCCCACAGTCTGGAGAACCGGAGGGTGGCGAACCAAGGAGCCGTCGACTCGCTGGAATACAATTACCCGGGCGAGGCGCCCTCGGGACATTTCGACATGTTTTCGCCCTCTGATTCTGAGGGGCAGCTGCCTCATTATGCGGCGGGTCGCCAGGTTCCCGGGGGCTCTTTCCCGGGTGCCTCGGCCATGCCCAGAGCTGCAGGCATGGTCGGGTTGTCCAAAATGCACGCCCAGCAGCAGCAGCAGCAGCAGCAGCAACAGCAGCCGCCGCCGCACGGTGTGTTCTTCGAGAGGTTCGGCGGGGCCCGCAAGATGCCCGTGGGCATGGAGCCCGGGGTAGGCTCAAGGCACCCCTTAATGCAGCCTCCTCCGCAGGCCCCGCCGCCCCCTCAGCAGCAGCCCCCACAGCAGACTCAGCAGCCGCCGCAGCCGCAGCAACAGCAGCAGCCTCCGCCGCCTGGGCTCCTGGTCCGACAAAATTCGTGCCCGCCTGCGCTCCCGCGGCCCCAGCAGGGCGAGGCGGGCACGCCCAGCGGCAGCCTGCAGGATGGGGGCCCCATGCTGCCCAGCCAACACGCGCAGTTCGAGTACCCCATCCACAGGCTGGAGAACCGGAGCATGCACCCTTATTCTGAGCCTGTGTTCAACATGCAGCATCCTCCTCCGCAGCAGGCGCCTAACCAGCGGCTGCAGCATTTCGACGCACCCCCTTATATGAATGTGGCCAAGAGGCCGCGCTTTGACTTCCCGGGCAGCGCGGGAGTGGACCGCTGCGCTTCGTGGAACGGCAGCATGCACAACGGCGCTCTGGACAACCACCTCTCGCCCTCCGCCTACTCTGGCCTGCCCGGTGAGTTTACACCGCCGGTCCCTGACAGCTTCCCCTCAGGGCCACCCCTGCAGCATCCAGCCCCGGACCACCAGTCCCTACAGCAGCAGCAGCAGCAACAACAACAGCAGCAGCAGCAACAGCAGCGCCAAAACGCGGCCCTCATGATTAAGCAGATGGCGTCGCGGAATCAGCAGCAGCGACTGCGCCAACCCAACCTGGCCCAGCTAGGCCACCCCGGCGAAGTGGGCCAGGGAGGCCTGGTGCATGGCGCCCCGGTGAGCGGCTTGGCCCAGCCGAACTTTGAGCGTGAAAGCGGCGGCGCGGGCGCGGGGCGCCTGGGCACCTTCGAGCAGCAGGCGCCGCACCTGGCGCAGGAGAGTGCGTGGTTCCCAGGTCCGCATCCGCCACCTGGTGACCTGCTGCCCCGCAGGATGGGCGGCTCAGGCTTGCCCGCTGACTGCGGCCCGCACGACCCCGGGTTGGCGCCGCCCCCTCCTCCCGGTGGCTCGGGGGTGCTGTTCCGGGGCCCTCTGCAGGAGCCGCTGAGGATGCCCGGAGAGGGCCACGTGCCCGCGCTGCCCTCCCCTGGCCTGCAGTTCGGGGGCAGCCTGGCCGGCCTGGGCCAGCTGCAGTCACCGGGGGCTGGAGTGGGGCTACCTAGCGCTCCCTCCGAGCGCCGGCCCCCGCCGCCGGATTTCACGGCGCCCGCGCTTGGGGGCCAGCCTGGCTTCCCGTTCGGCGCAGCGAACCGGCAGGCCACGCCGCACAGCGGCCCAGGCGTGAACTCGCCCCCTAGCGCGGGTGGGGGTGGCGGCAGCACTGGCGGCGGCGGCGGCGGGGGCGCATACCCGCCGCAGCCTGATTTCCAGCCCAGCCAACGCGCCTCGGCCAGTAAACTGGGCGCGCTCTCGCTGGGCTCCTTCAACAAGCCCAGTTCCAAGGACAACCTGTTCGGCCAGAGCTGCCTGGCTGCGCTCTCCACAGCCTGCCAGAACATGATCGCCAGCCTCGGGGCCCCCAACCTCAACGTGACCTTCAACAAGAAGAACCCGCCCGAGGGGAAGAGGAAACTGAGCCAGAACGAGACCGATGGTGCGGCCGTTGCCGGCAACCCGGGCTCGGATTACTTCCCCGGAGGGACTGCACCGGGCGCCCCGGGGCCCGGAGGCCCGTCGGGGACCAGCAACGGTGGCTCCAAAACCTCGGGGCCGCCCAACCCTCCTGCCCAGGGGGACGGCACCAGCCTCTCTCCCAACTACACCCTGGAATCGACGTCGGGGAACGACGGCAAGCCGGTCCCCGGGGGCGGTGGCCGGGGGAGGGGTCGCAGAAAAAGGGACAGTGGTCACGTGAGCCCCGGGACCTTCTTCGACAAGTACTCTGCAGCGCCGGACAGCGGGGGCGCGCCCGGGGTGAGCCCAGGGCAGCAGCAGGCACCAGGTCCAGCCCTCGGGGGAAGCTCGTCAGGCGAGGCACGAGGGGCACCTACGCCTCACGAGAAAGCGCTCACTTCGCCGTCGTGGGGGAAGGGGGCCGAGTTGCTCCTGGGGGACCAGCCGGACCTCATGGCTTCCCTGGAGGGCGGGGCCAAGTCGGACGGTAGTTCCCCGCACGTGGGTGAGTTCGCCTCAGAAGAGGTGAGCACAAGCTACGCCAATGAGGATGAGGTGTCATCCAGCTCCGACAACCCCCCGGCCCTGGCCAAAGCGAGTAGGAGCCCCCTGGTGACAGGCTCGCCCAAACTCCCTCCCCGAGGGGTGGGCGCAGGGGAGCATGGACCGAAGGCGCCCCCGCCCCCGCTCGGCCTGGGCATCATGTCTACCTCTACCTCGACCCCTGACAGCTACGGCGGCGGCGGGGGCGCTGGCCATCCGGGCACGCCGGGCCTGGAGCAGGTCCGGACCCCTACGAGCAGCAGCGGCGCACCACCACCCGACGAGATCCACCCGCTGGAGATCCTCCAGGCACAGATCCAGCTGCAGAGGCAGCAGTTCAGCATCTCGGAGGACCAGCCCCTGGGGCTCAAGGGGGGCAAGAAGGGTGAGTGTGCCGTGGGGGCCTCGGGCGCCCAGAATGGAGACAGCGAGCTGGGCAGCTGCTGCTCCGAGGCTGTCAAGAGCGCCATGAGCACCATCGATCTGGACTCCCTGATGGCAGAGCACAGCGCCACCTGGTACATGCCGGCTGACAAGACCTTGGTGGACGGCGCGGACGACGACAAGACGCTGGCGCCCTGGGAGAAGGCCAAACCGCAGAACCCCAACAGCAAAGAAGGTATATGCGCTCGTCTCGGGCCCCTTCTTATCTCCGGGAGACCTGCCCCACCCCCAGTGCAGGCCTCAGCCTCCGCCTTGAAGGCTCCTTGAAAGGGGTGGGTTCTTTGGGGTTGTGAGAGCTTAGGGATTTCTTAATGCCCAACTCAGAGCAGGACACTCTTCCTTTTACTTACACAAGGGCTCCGTGAGCCTGCCCCCTCCTCCCCCTTAGGTGCTGCCAGGCAGATTCTAGTTCCACGGGGAGGTAAGAACTTAGGTGACAGCCCTTTGGGGACTACTGCAGAGTCCTCTCCGCCCTCAAGTTTTCGCTGTGTGGCTGGGTGCTCAGAGGCCTGGGAGCCTTTCTTTTCACCCTGATCACCCTCCACCTTCAGGCTGGTTCCACATCTTAGGGGCTGTGTGCTCCCCCGCCCGCCTGGTAGGACTCCGGGGAAGTTGTGTTAATGTCTCCCCGCCTTTTCCCAGCCAGCCAGCCTCCAGCTCCAGCTCCCTTCCATGTGCCAGCATCTTTAGGAGAAAAAGTTACCAGCTCTAGTGGCACAGCATCACTCAGAGGCAACGCCTAATTTGACATTTGTTCCTAATGAGTAGCTGTTTGGTCTCTTCTTAACTATTAGAGTTGCACTGAAAAACTGGGTACCTGTAGGGGTTGTAGGAGGCAGGCAGCCTTTTCCAGGTGCATCTCCTTGACATTGGGTGGGGCTGGGTGGGGTCTGCCTGGCAGAGGCCAGAGCACTCAACCAGGGCAACATTTGTGTATGGGGATGTGGATATATATTCTTAAGGCACAAAGGACCCATGTTTGTCAATATCTCCCTGGCTTTGGTGACAGATGTCCGGTCCCAGCTCTCCTTTGCATTCTAAGCACTCCCTCCCCACCAGGCCTGTAGGCTTTTTAAGGTGGGTGGGGTGGGGGTTAGTCAGTGAACCATCATTCCAGTTAAAGTTAAGAGATTTTTAACCTAAAGAAGACTGGGCTGCTGTAGACATCAATTTTATTTTAGTGGGAACTTCCCCCTACCTCCAGATACTGGCTTCTTAAAATTAGGTAATGTCATTACCGCCCCCCCCCCCCCCCCCCCCGCCCCATTCCTACCTTTTCCTTTTAAACCCTAGTTGAATCCTCTGGGTCTCAGCAGGCTGAATATTGTCATGGAGCCGGTGGCTGGTGGTTTAAACCACGTCTCTAAAAACACACCCCTTGATTCTTGCTCCCTCTTAGAGTTCTTTTCCCTCTGCCTTCATTTTTCTGGTCCTCCCCACATCCTGCCAGCTCTTGACCCTGGGTTTAAGGTGTGGGTAGGTTTTAGGAGAGTAGGAAGGGCAGGAGGGGGAGGGGAGGTGTGGCTGGAGTTGGGTGGCTCAGAACTCAGGGCTTTCGGGGCGCCTGTCCCGGGTAGCTTTCCCGCTTAGGTTTTCTCATTCATGAATGCGGCCTCGCTGCTTTTCTCTTTGTTCGCCTACTGCCCAGCCCGGGACGCCGCGCTCTCATTTGAAGCCTGGTGTTTAGCATGCACAGCAGACGCTGGGGCCAGCATCAGCATTCTCCAGGCTTCTCCCAGGCAAGGCCATAAATTGGTTAGTTTGGGACCCTCCGCTTCTTCTCCTCCTTTATCCCCCCCCTTTAAAAATGGAGTTGGACACGGCGTCCTGCTTGCTCACCCCCCACCCTTTTATTTTCTTGTACACAACGTCTCGATCCCTGGCCGATCGATAGCTGGTTAGCACAAATCCCAGCCCCTGTCACTTCTACCTGGCTTGGCCTGGCCGCCCCTCCTCCTCCCCTTTCTCCCATCCCCCAGTCATTAAGAACATATTGGCCAAAATGGGGTGAGAAAAGTTAAAAAAGAAAACCCGATTTAGTGAATTAATGAAGAAAAACCAGTAGCACTTTGCCTGTGAGTCTTTTGAAAGACCTTAGGTGAAGAGGAATGAGATGGTTAATGAGTTGTTTTTTTTTTAAAGATGTCCCACCACTCCCTTCCCAGCCCATCCAACTCCCCTTCCTTTATAGAAAAAAATAAATAAAAGATGCAGGCTGTGAATGAAGAAATGTCATTAAAGAAATGTTTTGTTTTGCTTGTTTCCTTATCGCAGTCAGACGAGGGAAACAGTGTTTTTGGAGACAGATGCCAGTCACTGTAGGGTTGGTTTCCCCAGTTTGCCCACCAGCCCTCCCTTGCGCCCAGCACAGGGACTTCCTTTAGGGACTGGCTGCCGGGCTGGCCGCCTTAGAGGTATCTGGCAGGGACACCCACTTGACCTCCTTTGTTTTCCACTCTGTGATGTGGGAAGGACAGTTTCCTAGATAAAGCCCTGAATTGAGGTCACTCACAGCTCCTGCAGCCTTGGGGCTGCTAGTTAAGGCTTTATAAGGTATTTGCATCCGATTGCTGCTCCCTTACTGGTAGTAAATAAGGATGATTAAACTTTTCATTATGATAACACCCTACAGCTCCATCTGCACACGTTGTATAAATAGGTACACAGAGCCTTCAATGGGCCCCCGAGTCCCCTGGCTGAAAAATCAGAGTGAAGTGTGCCACTTCAGAATAGAGTTAAAAACACATTAAAGTAAAATGTTCTGCTTTTCCTTAAACACATGGCTGTGTGGCCCCATCAGCCGTGAAGCGGCGGTGGCCAGTGGCTTTGAATAATACCTGCTCTGGGTTCCAGCCCCAGCAAGCACTTTCCTTCCCCGCCACCCCTCTTCAGGCAAAGCCCATTTTTGTCATGATATTTTATTTTGTCACGCCATTAAACACGCCAGTACTAATGTGATTAAATATTAACACCGTTTCTGAAATTCTTCGCTCTGATGACAAAATACTGGTCGGTATTTAACAAAATGATCTGTGCTCCGATTGGAGAGAAGGAATAAGTCTTCAGAACTGCACAAGCCGTGTAGCCACTGGGACGTGCCCTGATTGTCTTATGGGGTTTCGATGTCCTTCGGAGGGGAGAAACTAGACCAGCAAGTTGCCGTTCTGGAAAAGTCTGGGCCAGCATGACATGCAATTACGATTTTTTTTTTTAACCAGGGAAGTGAGGCTCCCCAAATTATGCTGCCCCTGACTTCTTAACCCACCGAACAACTTCTATATAATGAAACTCTGCCTCTCATCATGAGGTTCTGTTTGTACAAAGTTGGGGTGGGGGAAGGGTGAGGACGTGCAAAGGAAAAAAAAAAATCCAGCCTATTCAGACATACATTGAATCAGTGAGGATTATGTGAATTTGAAATTAGTTTGGAAAATTGTTCACCTATTTTTTGTAATAGGCATGTGGGTATAGAGGAATTTCAAAACAGAGAAGGAATGATAGATTGTAGATGAAGGATAGACTGTGAAAAAATATGTTTCTCCCCTCTCCTGCCCCTTCCCCATAATTTTCAAAACTTGAATTAACCATATTCTGTTACGAGTGTATCCTTGCCAAACTTCCATTCCGTTGGTTGCTCTCTATCTTAAAATCTGGAGCAGCCTAGAAATGCGCTTTCACGTACGTTGAAATGGGAGAGGTCTCTACTGGCTCTGCATGCAATGCTGCCCTTTTTGGAAGTATGACATTTTTACAGTGATGCGGAAGAAATTTTTGGAATTTCATGCTTCCCTCCATGTTCCAGTCAGAACACAGAAAGCAGTGCTGAGAAATACTAGGCAGGCGGGATTTGAGCACTGAATTTTCTTAGACATGGGGCAGGCTGGGGGCACGAGGGGGGTCCTAGTGCTGTTTTTCTGAATCGTTTCCCCCCCTCCCCACACCTTGGAGAGGATTTTAAGGCTCACTCATGTTTGTTTGGGGAAGGTGAGGAGCCTTGCGTTCGCGTTTCCCCGTGAAACCACCCAGCCAGGTTGCATGCCTTCATGTGACTTTTGCAGCCTCTGGAAGATGTAACCCAAAACTTCACAGGTGTTAATCGGGGGTAACGTAAACAGGACCCCCCTTTGTGCAGCTGACGTTAGGGCCTGCCTGCTCCCTGGCTAGTTCGGGACGTACTACTACTGTTCTTGGTGCTTGTTTAATATTTCATGGCAGTAATAAACCTGTCTTCTTTGCCCGCCTCCCGACATAAAACCCCAACCTAGCACACAACTGCGATTATACATTTCTACTAAACATTAATAAAGGACAAGGATGTTCTGAGGGGCTGAAGCTTATCGGTGTTGAACTTGTCGTGGTTTCTGCCACTGGGTTTTTCTGGCTGTTTTGATTTTAAATACCCACTGCCCTCTAATATGTAACATATACTTATGTATTCTCCTCAATATAAGTATATACAATTTTTGTAGATTGAAGGGTTTTCCTCAAGGATAGCTTTCTTTAATATAAATTCATTTACATTTCTTGTGAGGCCCCTTCAGACCGGAAGTAAGAGACTGTTGAAATGTACTTCTATTTTATTGAGATTTCTAGGAAAGCAGCAAGGGTTGGTTAATCTAATTTCTCTTTCTAGCAATGAAATTCAATGGTTCCTGATATGATTTTGTTTGCCTGACAGAGGTATTTAAATTTCCACCAAGAATCTTAATAGGTCCTGAAAATAGGGCAGGCCTCGCCAAGAAGTTACTCGATACTCTCTGCTGATATTAAATCTACATCTTTAATAAATATTCTGGGAGGACTAGGTGAAATTAGAGGAGGAAAATTCTTCCCACTGTGGAAGGGCAAACTTGAATATATATCCTTGGAATTTCCAGGATCTCTTCAACCCACTGCACGCTGGAAGATTTAGCAAGATCACCTTTCTCTCCACTTGAGTGACAATTACGTTGGGTTGTGTTCTTTGCTCTGGGAATGATCTCCTTGGCCCAAAGCATTTAGAAGATAAATACTCCTAGTAAGGAATACTGTATTTACCTCAGTTTAGTTAATTTTAGAGATTAGAAGGCTATAGCTTTATGTAATAGGATCAAATGTTTTGAGAGTGTGCGAGGGCAAGCAGGCCTCCCCAGCACAGTGCAACATAAAAACACCAAACCCTCTCAGGCCAGAGGG